ATGCCATCACTTAATCAGTGAAACATTCTTAGGGCTGCATTCCAGTAATTAGAAAGGGATAACAATGCCAAAGGAACTGGATGGATAAGATCAAAGGTCCATGGAGCCTGGCATCCCATTTTCCACAATCACCATCAAGAAGCCTATATCATTCATGAAAGCACTGGTCCATTATATAGTCACTTCCAAGTGAATGCTCCACAAAAGCATCATGCTAACTAAATAACAACTCTGAGGCTGTTTATTCGTCTTTTAAAATCATCTAATTTGGTAAGTTACACTACATTTTGTGGATGCAAAATAAATTACACATTTTCATTGGTTTTACTTGAATTATTTTAAAAGACAACTTGGAAATTGATTCAGATTATGGTAGTCCATATACATACTGTCTCTCTCAACTTTGGAAGCGCATAGCATGGAATTCTGTGGAGGCCATACTCTCTGTCACTTACAATTTAAAGTGCTGGTGTTGACCTACAAAGCCTGTTAAAGTTAACTGCAAGTTCTCCTGACCCAACCACAATCAGCCTGACCCACTATATCAGGGGTGTGTAACTGCTGGCCCACGGGCCGGATGCGTCATGCTGAAACCACGCCCCCCCAGCTCCAGCAATGGGGGAAAAGTCGCGATACATCGCGACATGTCACGTGACATGGTGAGTTTGACACCCCTACACTAGATTATATAGATCAAATATAATATTGATTATATAGATCAAATATAATATAGTCCTACATTTCCAAAATATGCCTAGGTTGAACCTAGAAAGCACTGCTTTTCTATTGTAGTTCCAAAGTTTTGAACTGCAAAGCACTCCTCCCCCTCCTCCACCCACCGTATGCAGATCAAGTTTCCAGTTGAACTTTGGGAAAATTATGAAAATTGAATTATTCCAGCCAATATTCTCTTAAGCCCTGAAACATTTTTTTTCTTTTTGTTTTCATTTATTATCATTGCTGCTTCTTAGAGGTTTCATTATGAAATTGTCTGATAGTTGTATCATGGATGTCTATATTATTTACTTTGTAAGCTGTTAAAGGTCACCATTATGGAATGATATATGTTTAATAAATATTTATATTTATTTTATATATTTGAATTTATCAGCTACCCAATGGACTCTGGGCACCATATGAAATGAGAAAAAATATAAAAACATTGAACAGACGTGATAGCCCAGATTAAAATAGCCTTATAAAAAGAAAAATCAAACAAAACAAAATAGGGACCCTAGACCAGTGGTTCTCAACCTGTGGGTCGGGACCCCATTTGGGGTCGATCGACCATTTCACGGGGGCCGCCATTTTTTTTGTCCGCCATTTTTTTTCCCTTTTCCGGCGGGTGCCTTACCTCCCTTGGGTTGGGCCAGCTGGTGGTTGGCCTGCTCCGTCTCTGCCGCTTGCCAGCTACGCCTCGGCCGGCGCAGGGGGCGGAACCACGCATGCGCGGCGCTCCCAGGCACGGAAAGTCCTCGACTTACGAGCGGCTGGGTAGTCCTCGACTTACGACCGGTTTAGTCCTCGACTTACGACCGGTTTAGTCCTCGACTTATGACCGGTTTAGTCCTCGACTTACGACCGCTTGGGGTCGCGGCATTAAAAAGGTTGAGAACCACTGCCCTAGACAAATGATGCAACATCAAGAATTGTTAATAATTGATGTTATGTGCTCCTGGCTACTTTCCTTCCTGACCAGAGGCAAGCTCGCCTGACCAATAACCAGCCAAGACACAGTGAAGGCCTTTTGTTTCGTTTATTGCAATAAGTGGGGAGAGAAGCTATCAAAGCTTGGTTCTCTCCAAAGTTCCAACCCAAAATATTTCCTTCATTATACATCCCTGTCCAGGCTGCACATCCCTGCTCTTTCCCCATTGGCTGAGGTACTATGAGGTTACACTCTTTCCGACCGCCTCCTACATATTTCCTGCTACATACTAAATCATACATCACATGTACATGAAAATTAAGAGATAATTTATGCAAGGTGTGTCAGTTAATATTAATCAACTAATTGCACATGCTCACTTGCCTGAGTTCTGGCCCCGTTTTTTATGATTTCTTAGAAAAATAGGTTCTTTCCTGTTTTGCTAGTTATCTTCTCTTACAGATGTTTTTATAGCTTGTCTTCTTCCTTTCCCACTCTAAGACCCATCTAATTTTTGCCTACGTGTTTCTCTTACATCCTTTCTTTATGCTCTCCTTTCCTAGTTCCCATATATTATAGTTGCTTCTCCACTCAGTAAATTTCCACTGCAGCAAATTCAATTTTAAATTTCTATTTCAATATTAAATTTTTGAAGACCTTTCCTTTACTTCTATCAATTGATAATAAAAATTACTGAACATTTTACATTATGTTATTATTACCATTTTTTTCATTGCTTGACTCATAAGCACATATTTGTGACATTTTGACCACCTTATGATAAAGTGCATTGCTGTGCTATTTCAACTCACAGCTGTCATACATATTCCAAAACAATACCTTATACTAGTATTTCTGAACCCTTGGCACCTCAAAAGATGTTTCGGCTTCAACTCCCAGAATTTACCAGTCTGGCTGGGGAATTCTAGGACTTGAAGTATAACTATATTCAAGCTGCCAAGGTTGAGAAATGCTACATTACATTAATATTATTAAGACTTTCTTGATCATATGTGGCTACCTAGCACCAAGAAAAAAATGTTGTAGTTGGTATTTATACTGAGATCATAATACTTATATGCTTCTGAAAAGAGGCCTACTAGCAAATAATCTGGCACTAAAGGACCTAATTTATCTTGTTCAAATGAAGATTAATTTCATTATAGAACTGCAAGTAAGAGTATATTAAATCAATTTTTCTTCAAAGTCAGTAAAGCTCTTTGACCTAGCTCTCAAGATCATTTATTTTGGGTTCATTTTTTCCCCAGTCTTAACCCCTGAAATACATACACATTGCCATGTATTTATATAGAGTTCACATACTCAAATCATAGCCTAACAATTTGCCTCCAGAAGTTGTGAATGCTCCAAATCCTGGAAGTTTTTAACAAGAAATTGGACAACTATTGTCTGAAATGGTATAGGGCTTCCTGCACAAGCAGGGGGGTTGGACTAGAAGACCTCCAAGGTCCCTTCCAACTCTATTATTCTGTTCTGTTTTTTTCTGTCTAAAGGAGCCAGAAGCTATTATGGTGCAGATGTCAACAGATATTACCATTTGTTAGAGACTGGCGTAACAAAACTAGCTTTCATTTATCCTAATAAAATCACAAAGGGGAATAAAACAAAATAATACGAACAGTAGAACCACAGTATCTCAGTGGTCACCTACTAAATTTTGTGGAACACAAGATACATCCCCGTTTGGCTGCAAACTCTGGCACAATTACCACGTGGGATCCTATAACACGCCAGTTGCTGCTTGCCCATTTATGGTTCATGCAAACCCAGCCAGTCTCATAGTCTGACTGAAAAGGGAAATAATTACATGATACAAGATTCAAGAGACCACCTAAGCTGCATGTCAAGAGTCCCAATACCTTCTCCCATAGTTTTCCCACACAGGAAGGATATCCAGACTGTATTCTCTTAACCCTACAGGACAGACATGTCAAACACAAGGCCCAGGAGCCGGATACAGCCCGCAAAGTGGTTTCATGTGGCCCGTGAAGCCATCCTGGAAACAGTGAGGGAACAGCCCCCACTGCCTTGGCCCTGGCCCAGGCAAGCCAGGAGCCAATGTACAATTTTGTGGTGGCCATCTTGGCACTTGCCCCGGTGGACCATGCCTTGGCACTTGCCCCGGTCCCACCCCCTTCTGCCAGAGACCCTCAGATCTGTCCCACTCCTGCCCAGGCCCCCAAAGGTACCCTTGATGCGAATGATGTAGAACTGGCCACGCGCCCCCAGTAGGCTACACCCACTCTGGCCACACCCACCCAGCCCCCCCAGGGCAACCGCAATGGTGATGCGGCCTTCAGTGAAATTGAGCTTGACACCCCTACTACAGGACAACTAGATTCAGGCTACGAAAATCTAGGCGGCTAGTAGCAGAATTTCGGGGGGTGGGACCCAAAGTTTGCTTTCCTAGGAAATATCCCTCATTCACTTGCATGGAAAAGGCCTCGGCCCCTCAGTTCCACTGTGAGAGTGGGATTCACAAACCTCACTGAATCATAAAAACCCCCGTGATGGGAATCCACCACTTCCAATGTTAACTGTGATTTCTGGCTTACCGTACTGTGCAAGCCTAGCCAGCTGTGTTATCCTTAACAAAGGAAGGGTAAAGCACGCGCGGCTAGGGTTGCCAGGTGTCCACTATTTGAGTGGACAATCCACTTTTTTCACATTATGTTCACTATTTTTTTTCACAAAATAGTGGACATTTTTTTTATTCAAAAGCTTTATGATGAAATGGTACGTAATCTAAAGCTGTACAGTCTACTTTTTTTACTACTTAACCCCCCCCCCCGCTTGTCCGCTATTTTTTGGAATCAGACCTGGCAACCCTAGGCTTATCGTGATTTGTGGACCAAGCCTTAAAAGATAACGACCTGAGTCCTGAAAAAGGCCGTTTCTTTCGGACACAAGCAAAATGCTAGTTTAGGGCGGCCTCTTTATGCCGGGGAAAAGCCCTTGACCACAAAGGCCAGGCTGGGGAGCGAAAGCCCTAGGAAAGAACAGCCAGCCCTGCTCAGCAATTGCAGAAGCTACTCCACAAGGCGGCGAACCATCCGGCAGAGCCAGCTGAAAAAAAACGCGCGCACAGAGGCCGAGTATAGCTACTACGCGGTCTCGGGCGGGTCTCCAGACGGATAAAAGCGCCGCCCTCGACTGGGAAGGACGCGGAGGAGGAGGAGGAGTTACTCCGTTGCAAGCGCCGGCTTCCTGCTCTCCCGCTTCTGGGACTCGCACCTTTCCTTTCCCTTCATTTTTATTTTGCAGCAATTGGCGCTGCGGGGCTGCTGGGTCCGCTCGCTTAAAGCCGCGGAGACCCCCACCCCCACCCCAAGTTCGTTGGGTGAGTGAGGCTGCCTTTCCCTCGCCAGCGCAGGCCTTGCGAAGGGGGAAAAAAAGGGGGAATGGACTGAAACGCCCGGCCGGTGCGGGGATTCCTTGCAGGCCGCGGAAACCGAGCGTGGCGTGAGTTTTTTCGGCTGCTCACTCCACCTTTGCGGCGGCCGCTATTTTTCGAAGGCCGTCCTAGCTGAGCAAAGGGCTTTCTCCCACCCGCAACCCACGTAATTGTTATTTTCCGGGCGTCTGCCGGGCCTCTGGGGTTGCACCATGCCTTCCTGGGGTGTTCATTAACTCGTGGTTTCGTTTCGTTGTTTCTTTTTTTTAAAGATGTGGAGTCATTTCGTTCTTCTGAGCTGTAAAGCAGGCGAAATCCTTGCTCCCCGCAGCAGAGTAGGGCTCGCAAGCTTTTGTCGGAATTTCAGAACCATGAAGATAGAGTCTTCCGAATTTAAGTCCCTTTTCACCCCAGGACTGAAGGGCATTGCAGGTACAGGTGCTTCATTTTCTTGGCAGGTGGCTTGGGAGCTGGGATGGACAACCTGTGGCCCTCCAGCTGTTGCTTGAACATCTACTTGGAGTATCTCTTACCATTATTAGATCGGTTTACTTCTGCCACGTGATGTAGTTCTGCAATACCTGGGGGAAGGCAGATTTCTCGGCCCTCTTTTGAACTAGGAATTCCTGATAATTGTAAAAACAACAATGAACAAGAACTCGTGATTTAATACTATTAGTGCTTGTGTTTCACTATAACTAGCAATTATTTTATTCCAGTAGTAACTTCAGCAATAAAATACCTCATGCTGGTGCATATCAGGATACCAACATAAACTAGTAGGTTACTCTCTTTTGCATTGGGATTATAACTAGCATAACAGCCAGATTTAACAACTGTGTTCAAAAGATTACAATAGTGTTTCTCAACCTCTGCAACTTCTAAGGCACATGGATGCTGGCTAGAGAATGCTGGGAGTTGAAGTCCACGTTTTAAAGTTGTAGAGGTTGAGAAACACTGGTGTACGATAGTACCTGAATGTCTTTTGTCACACAAATGCAGTTTACAAAAAGTATCTATCCATGGGCCACCAAGACATACAGATTTCTCTCTCAAACTGTCAGTCAAAACAGATTGAGACTTTAAGCATCAAACATAAGTTTCACTCCAGGATTGCAAACCAGTCCTGCTGACTTTTCAGTTGCATTATTCAGAAGAACAAATTTGATTCTTTTCATTCATCATATCTGAGAGATGGGTGTATCAAACTGTTTCCAGTGCAGTGTCATGTTCAAAGGATATATGCTACTTGTAGATGTTATGTTGAACTATCTTTATTTGATTTATGTTAAACTGAGATTTTCAAGACTTGCTGAGGTGAATTTGGAGAAATATTTTAAAATGCTTAATCCAGACATATAATGTACATGAAGTATTTCATTTTACACTATGGTTTGGATTCTTTGGCTGCTTTTGTGATTTGTTAGAATATGCCTGCCTGAGTAATATCAGACATGCCAAGCACATTTTTGTATCGATATCTATAAGAAATTTGGGAAGACCTAAGGCAGTGGTGGCAAACCTATGGCACGTGTGCCAGAGGCGGCACTCAGAGCCCTCTCTGTTGGCAGGCGCGCCACCGCCACCAGCAGCAGGTCCATCAGGCCGCCACTGCTGCCCGGAGCAGGAGCCCCGCCCAGCACAAAGGAGGCGAAGCGGCCAACTACAAGCTTGAGTAGAGGTGGTAGAGCAGAGGTCACCAACCATTGTCGATTGGTGGACTGGAAGAAAAGGGAGGGGGAAGCATTTTACGCACTGCAAATACCCCATTTACACCTGCATGATACTGACTAGCCCTGCCCCGTTCTTGCATGGTGCAGCGCCTTGTATCTGCACCTTGCGGCACGGCAGCGGCCGTTTTTGCACCTTGCAGCACGGTGGTCCATTTTTGTGCCCCGGTTTTTGCATGCCAGAGGCGGCACTTAGAGGCGCCTCCCTGACCTCCCCCAAGGGCACCACAATGCTGATGCGGCCCTGGCACCTTGCAATAAATAAGTGGGTTTGGGGTTGCGATTTGGGCACTCGGTCTCTAAAAGGTTCACCATCACTGACCTAAGGCTTACTGCCCTTTCATACTTTAATGATACAAGTGAAAATACAGACCACTTCTGCAGTATTTGATTGATCTTAATCCTCATCAAGACTACTGTGCATGTGGTCTAGTGCATGAATTTTTGAAAAGAAAACAAAATTTTCAATGCTATTCAGTGGTTTCTTTTTTCTTTAAGTTACAGTACAGAAATAGATTTTTTAAAAAATTAAAGTATGATTTAAATTTTCTCCATCTATGAGCAAAGGTCTTGTTCACGATGGGTCACATCACAGGTGCATGCACACAGGCCAAAAGGCAGCCAAATAGTATATAAATAACATATTCTATAACTGAGCCAATGAGGCCCCACTCTATTTAATTTACAAAATTAAATTGTAAATTATGAATTAAAAGTTAGGTTTAGAGTATTATTTATCTTGGACAAATCTAGCATGAGAAATTCCACATAAATCAAAAGTCATTATACCATAATTTCTCTTGCTTGGCTTCATGTATATTTTGTCTTTACAGTTTTTTCCCCATTTCTACTTACAGAAATATTTAATAAAGAAAATTATGAACTAAGAATAGCAGGAGGTGCTGTAAGGGATTTACTCAGTGGAATAAAACCACAAGACGTTGATTTTGCCACTACTGCAACTCCTAGTCAGATGAAAGAAATGTTCCAGGCCAAGGGTGTCCGTATGATCAACAACAGAGGAGAAAAACATGGAACCATCACTGCTAGGGTAAAAGGATTTTGCAAACTTTTAAAATGAAAAATAGATAGAAAAAGTATTTTGGTAGAAGAGGAGTTTCTATAGATTTATATTCCTAGGGTTATAAAAAAAAGTATAAATTGTCCTCATGTTGAACTTGAAAGCTAGCAAATATATCTTTGTTTTCTTTTTTTAATTAGTAAATAGAAAAATATAGACATTGCTGCAATGAGGCAACCTTCCTTCTCCCTTCCTGTAAGCTGACCTCATTGCTAGCTGACTATAACGTCAGCAAATGTGGAAAAATATTAGAAGAGAAAGAGAAGTGGGCTGTATGCAGAACATGACAATATTCAGAGGCTATCTGATAATAGTTGCTTGCCATGAAAGATAGTTATACTATGACATATGTTGAAACTGCCACCCTCTCAATGGCTAATCACTCTACTTTTTCACCATGATGTTTGGGAATTGCAGAAAATGCCATTTTGGAGAAGGAAGGCCTAGAGCACTATGCCAAACTAAAGGAACTTGAGGCACGTGGGATAAGATGAAATGCTTCTGTGTCCAATTGTGGCTGAGTCTTCAGCCCTACAAATTAGAAGACATAGAATAATTAGAAAAATTAGAAGACAAAGAATAATCAAAGCATTATGTAGTACATGTTTTTGGCATAGTATGGCATACTATGCCTAGTATGCCTATTTTTAAAACTTATAAATTTGATGGATAAATAGTTGTCACTGATGTACGAAGAAAAAATGTACTTGAGCGCAAAAAAGATGAAGACAATTAGCTTCCATGTTGGGCGGGAGGAAATTCCACATAGGGCATTGGGGCAAGTGGAGGCAGACTTGAGGGGTCATTGGATGAAGGAAAATACTGTAAAAAGAGTTGTCTGTTATTTATTAAGAAATTTTATATGGCCACCCAACCGACTCAAGGTAACTCCAGGCAGCTTACAAAAATAAAACTCCCAATACAAAACCCAATAAACCCCCACCCTCAGTTACAAGCTGTAAAAAAGGGGGGGGGGCGAAACAGGCAAAGGAATGGTTTCATGCAGGAAACAAAACAGATGATGGATTGATTTTTTTTTTCCAAAATTGCATTCTATCCATTTAATGCAAGGTTTTAAAATGGATTCTGTTAGCCAAATGAGAATATATATTTTTTTTGCTGCAGCTCCATGAGGAGAACTTTGAAATTACCACACTGAGAATTGATCTGCGTACTGATGGGAGACATGCAGAAGTAGAATTCACAACTGACTGGGAAAAAGATGCAGCAAGAAGAGATCTCACCATAAATTCTATGTTCCTAGGTAAGCTATTTTCCCATCTTAAAAGATGGCATGATGGTCCTATAAATGTGGATTGTTCTCTCACTTGAATGTTCTATGTCAACTCTATCTCTAGTGGTTCCAGATTTAAGCCTAACTAGGAGTTGGGAGGCAACTCCTGATTGAGTTTTCTTGTGAGAGACTGGCAGTGAGCATCAGAAATCTTTCTCCCATCCTCTTCTTTCCTTCCATACTTTGTCCTTCCTTTTTCATTCCTTCCTGCTCCTTCCTTTCATATCCTAGGCTTATAGGTAATCATACATGTTCCTTCCAAGTTCCCCATTGGTTTGTGGGAAGCTGTCAGGGAACTTTGAAAATAAGGATGGCATGACTGTAGCTGAGGCAAAACTAATTTCATTCCCTTAGGAGTAATTTATCCAAAAGTATCGAATGGAGAGTTTTAGTAGTATATAGATATTATGGAAGTCTTACAGTGAGTTGATGTAGACAGAATTCTGCTTGAATGAGAACACTTTGGCATATACCGGTACAGTGTTCTGCCATCTTGGTAATGTGATGCCTATAATTCCATTAAATGGCACACATAGAATCCCTAAATTTAAATAGTTATCCTTTAAAATAAAGCATGTTAAAGTCTTTTGAGCTAGCCAATTCCCCTGAAATATGGCAGCGTTCCTGCATTAGATTTCAGTTCTGAAATTATTGAATTTTCACAAGATTTGGTACATGCTTTAAAAGGAACACCACATTTTTGGGTGCTCATGTTATATAGAGTAATATACAATGGTTCTTATTAAAATTGCTGACTGTTGCTTAAAGAAATCATGGATTATTAGTAGCTTAAAAATATATACAATGGCTTCCTTCCTAAGTAATCACTTTTCATGAGATCCATTTCTTATCAGCTGATGCTAATCATTGCAACCAATATTTTTTAGCTTTGATATTACAAAGTGAATGTTTCACCCTACTACGTACCATGATTGCTGGTAATCTTGCTCTGACCCTGGTCAAATGCTAAAGATGGATGGAGTTTCGGAAAGTGCCTTTTTAAATGAAGTTCTAAGTAATTTTTGTTAAAATATGTTTCACTTGCTTGATAGGTTTGGATGGCACTCTTTATGATTTCTTCAGTGGTTACAATGACTTAAAAAACAAGAAGATCAGATTTGTAGGAGAAGCCAACCAGAGAATAAAAGAAGATTTTTTACGAATTCTACGCTATTTCCGGTAAATAGCTTTATATTTTTACATGATAAGGGGCACTGGCCAGTTTGCAGAGAGCTAGATGTTCTTTTATTTATTCCTTAATTACACTTCACTTGGAGATCACTTACAGAGCTCTGACTTCCTGGTTTGTGTATGGCACTCAGTATTAGTGGCATTTGGACATCAAATCTTTGCCTTTTTCACTTCGGTGCTCAGTTTGCCTAAATATATTTGCACCAGGATATTTATAAAAACAACTGTATTCTAAGTCCTTACAATGACCATATTGAGTTAATGTAGAGTGAATTTTACTTGAGTGTAAACACTTTGGCATATACTGGCACGTTGTTTTGCCCTCTTACCCAGTTCCAAAATTCTTGAAAATCAAGCTATGAACAGTGGGGTTGGTAATGTGATGCCTATAACTCAGCTAAATGAATTATAAGACTGAAATTATTTTCCTTAGATTTTACGGGAGGATAGCTGAAAGGCCTGATGATCATGATGCCAAAACTCTGGAAGCCATCAAAGAAAATGCCAAAGGTTTGGCTGGAATATCTGGCGAAAGGATTTGGACAGAATTGAAAAAAATTCTTGTTGGGAAATACGCAAATCAACTCATTCATCTGATGTATGAACTTACAGTAACTGATTATATAGGTAAAAAACTTAATAGATGTTAACTCCTGTACAGATGTGAATTTTGGAGATAGAGAATATCCTAATGGTGGCTTTTCCAAAAGACAATTGGAGTTTCTTGGGGGCTTTTTCTTTGAAAATGTTTCACTTCTCATCCAAGAAGCTTCTTCAGTTCTAACTGATTGAAAGGGATTTCCTTTGGGACAACCAATCATCTATGGATGGTTGAGAATCTCCATAGCGAGATAGAGAATTATCTGAGGACATATCCTTGAGTAACTAGTTACATCTTTTATTTTTTGATAATGGGCACATTGTTCTTCAAAGATCTTTGGAGTTCCTCAATAAACCTGGCTTGGGAATTTTAGAAACCGGAATCTCACAACTGCAGTGCACTAAGATTTGGGAAGGGCATATTAACTGCTGAAATGAGTATCTCTGCATTTCTTAGGACATTGTAGATATGCTATCTGGGGAATTCTGGGAGTTGAAGTCAAGGTAGAGAAATAGAACATTGGGACACTACAGTTGTCTGCTAGATCTAAAAAAGCCTTGAATCTGTAACCCTGTTCTATATTGGTTCTGAAGTGACAGCGCACTAGAGTTTGATTTTGCCATTACTTGTAATAATAATGATACATTCTGCTTTTCTAGCAATTCCACATACTGCTTTGTTAGCAATCTTAGTTGATTTCTTGTTGCTTTCTAATAGTTACCTTATTCTCAAAACCCTTCTTTATATGTATCCCCTCAGGATTACCTGTTAATGGGAACTTACAGGAGTTTGACACAGTCTGTAAAAATGTCCAGAATCTTTTTCCCAAACCAATGACCATTCTAACGTCACTGTTAAAGGTTCCGTGTGATCTTTCAAAACTGGATTTAAGACTGAAACTATCAAAAGATGAAAAAAACCTGGGGCTATTTCTGTTGAAGCACAGGAGAGACTTGACCAAAGCTTCCGATACTACAATGCCTCTTAAACCATACCAGGATTTCATTTTAGATGTAAGTACAGTAATTTTGGATAATGCTCAACTTTTGTTCAGCTTTTTATTTGATCTATTTGGAAGCATCTTTGTCCTCTTGATTTAATCTCAGATACATTAAACTAGGAGTTAGGAAGAAGGCTGTGAGAACATGGATGCTGACTCCTTAAATACAGACTGGGTTCCCCTTTGTATGTAACCACAAACAAAACATTGAATGATCACCAAAAAAATAGAAAATTCTGTACTTACTGTTTTAAAAATGGTGCCAAGTAAAGTCTGAACTTTAAGAAGATTGAGGACTGATCTGGTTTGAGGTATTTTGTGTATTACATTGCAACTTAAGAACTATGAATACTTTGTGCTCATATTTCTCATTTTGTTGTATTTGTGAAGGCAAGGGAGTCTTGTGCAACATCCAGAATCCATGAGCTTTTGAAGTACCAAGGAGAAGAACAACTTCTGAAAGAAATGCAAGAATGGTCTATACCTTCTTTTCCTGTAACTGGACATGACTTAAGACAAATGGGAATTTCATCAGGAAAAGACATTGGGCCCCTCTTGCTACAGTTACGAGAACACTGGAAAAAAAGTGATTATCAAAAGAACAAAGAAGAACTCTTAAGCTATGTAAAGAAGGTGTGAAAGCAAATGGTGCTGAAACTAAATAATTTTGTATGAAATTTCACATGTACATGCATATTTTATTGGGTACATTTCATTTCTGAATATTAGGACTATTTGTATTTCAGTTCTAAAACAAATGGGGTTGTTTTTGTGTTCATCTGGTTGGTAATACATGAATAACTTTCATATTCTTTTACTCAACTATTAAATAACTATTAAATGTATGCTTCAAGTTGCACTGACTCACAAACTTGTATGTAGATTGACTGACTATCTGGGTTGTTCAGAAATGTACTTTGGATTGGATTGACTTTAAAAAGCAAGGAAAAATAATTTAAGGAAATTAACATTGCAGTTGTATTCCTGTTTATCCAAAAATGATTCCCATCCATTCAGTGGAGCCTGACCCTCAGCAAGCATATATCATCTTGAACCTCAGAGTCAGATTTTAGCCAGAGCCGATGCTGTCAAGCATTGTCATTTCACTGAAACTCAAATTACAACAACCACCTAAAGTTTTAGATACTGAAAAAGATTTACTAGTTATTCCAAAAAAACTTTAAAGTAAAAGGATAGCATCTCTAATATTTATATTGAGTTGAGCACTTTTCATTCATTTTATTTCCATTCACCTGAAAAGATTCTGAGAACTAATAAAAACTTGATTTTTTAAAATTCAAACTACACAATGTCCCAGCTTTCCTCATTTTTTAACTTGCAACATGTTACAAAAGCCTACAGTGGGTTTATAAACTTGATCCTATAAGTTTACCTAATGCTGCAAAATGAGTTACAATAAGCTCAGTGGGATTAATTCTTGGCAGTATATTTAGGATTGCAGTGAAAATGTTCTTACTGGGTTGATGAATTTGGATAATGACATAGAAGTTTCTATCCACTAGGTGGCAACCCATAGGAGCCAATTTTATATTGCGAACAATACAGTACAGATGTTTTGCTCAAAGTGCATGCTGAAAGATCTCTGGGTGGTAATGCAGTTCCAAATTCTAATTTGCAATTATCTGAGGGAGATGGGCAGTTTAGAAAGAGGAAATATAAGTAAATATGACTATTTCTTCAGTTTAGAATTCACAAGAACCAATTTCTAATAATGGAAAATTTAATATTTAATTTGATCATAATGCCGTCAGGCCACCTTGTGTAACTTAATATGTGTCAGGTTTTATTCTATGTACTGTATTTTGTATTTTCTCTGTCCTTCTGAGAAACTGGTTTCTGAGAAACCACCTAATATCGTGCTTTCCCTTAATTCTAAGTCAGTACATGAAGGATATTGATTCAGGAATATGAGCACGGTGACAAAACGTTGGAGAGTACAACCTTAACCCTAATGAATACATTACATGTAGTCTTCAATTTAAAGCCATTTGTTTAGTGAACATTCAAAGTTAAAATGGCACTGAAAAATGTGATGTCTTCATACTTAACGACTGTCATAGCATTCCCCGTCACCTGGTCAGAATTCAGGTGCATGTTAACTGGTATGTATTTACCATGATGGCAGCATCATGGTAATCACACAGTCACCATTTGCGACCTTCCGAGCAGTCTTTCAACATGCAAAGTCAAAGGGGGAAGCTGGATTCACTTAACTGCAATGATTCACTTAATCATGGCAAAAAAGGGTAGCAAATTGGGCACAACCAGCTGAACAACTGCCTTGCTTAGCAGTGGAAATTGTTGTCTCACTTGTCATAAGTTGATGACTACTAGTTGTGTGTATTTCCATGATACTTTTCTGCATCCCTTAACCTAGAAAGCTAGAGACTTCTGTTTGTTTTTAATTTGCTTTTCTCCTGGAATTCACTTTAGATTGCATATGTTTTAGAGACATACTTGGAGAGTACCACTATGCTATTAGGATTGGAGGGATTGGTCGACATTATAGCTTATCCTGCAAAAAGTTTCAATGTATGCTGCTCTAATTAATGGAAAAGCTTGAATCTGGAAAGCTTATTCAATTCTGGAATGAAAATATACAACAGACAATATTTTGTATATGGATAGCAACCTGAGAAAGCCACAGTTATGGCTGGATTGCAGGATGATTGTTACAAATCTGTTTATGGTCAGAGACCCCCATTTACTGACAGATGCACAAACTAATACAAAAGTATAATTAGAGATCTGAGCACAATAGGCCAAATTGTTCGTAATCTTTGCTCTACAGACTTTTTATCTCTAAATTTAGTTGTTGCCATTTCAATGTTTACGGACTTGTGGACAAGTCCAAAATGGTGTATGCAAAAGGGCTGATGATTTAAAGAAAATACTTAAAATGTACAAGGGGGATAATACAGTGGATGTTTTAGGGAATTAAGGTCCATAATGTTAGGAAGTGGCAAAGAGGAACTACAGTCATGTGGAAAAAAAATACATAGAACTCTTGAGTTCTATGGTTTTACATACCAGGATATAGTAATAATCATATGGTCCTTAGCAGTTCTTAAAAGTAGGTAAATACAACCTCAGATGAACAACACATGACATATTACACCATGCCATCATTGATTTTAACAAAAAGGCAAAATGGAAAAGCCATATGTGAAAAACAAAGCACACCTTATGACTAGCTTGTAGAACGGGTGTCAAACTGCCAGCCCGTGGGCTAGACACATCATGACAAAAGCACGCCCACCCCATTGCCAGCAATGGGGGAAAAGTTCCTATACATTGCGTTGCGAGTTTGACATGTTTGAAGGTAGAACTTTTAGTAGCAATAACTTGAAGTAAAGCATTTTCTGTATGACTTTATCAGTCTCTCACATCATTATGGAGAAATTTTGGCCCAATCCTGTTTACAACTTTGCTTCAGATCATTAGGGTTTGTGTGCATTTGTTTATGCACAGCTCTCTCTGAAGTCCCACAGCATTTCAATTGAGTTGAGGTGTGGACTTTGACTGGAGCAACACCTTGATTCTTTTCTTTTTCAGCCATTCTGTTGTAGATTTGCTGGTATGCTTGGGATCCTTGTCCTATTGCATGACCCAATGTCAGCTAAGCTTTAGCTTTTGGACAGATGGCCTCACATTTGACTCTCGAATACTTTGGTATACAGAGTTCATGGTCAGCTCAATGACTGCAAGGTGCCCAGGTCCCTTGGCTGCAACACAAGCCCAAATCATTACCTCTCCACCACTGTGCTTGATGGTTGGTATGAGATGTTTATGCTATATGGCGTGTTTGGTTTTCGCCAAACATGGCACTGTGCATTATGGCCAAACATTTCCACTTTGGTGTCCTCCGTCCAAAGGACAGTGTTCCAAACATCTTGCGATTTGTTCAGATGTAACTTTGCAAACCTAAGCTGTGCTGCCATGTTTTTTATAGTTTGTTTGGCAACACTTCTAAACAAACCATACTTGTTCAGTCTTTCTCTAATTGTACTGTCATGAAGTTCAATATTTAACATGCTGAGGCCTATAGAGTCTCAGATGTAAGTAACTCTTGGATATCTGGCAAACTCTCTGATCATTGCATGGACTGATCTTGGGGTGCATTTGCTGGGATGTCCACTCTTGGGAAGATTGGCAACTGTCTTGAATGTTTCCCACTTTAAATTGTTTGGAAATGGCCGTATAACTCTCTGCCCATCAACAATTATTTCTCTAAGCAATTGTTGCTTCTCTGTTGGGCAGCAACAATTGCTTCTCTAAGATCATTACTGATGTCTTTACTTTTTGATATTGTGTTAACATACACTTTAATGCTGGAGACCAGCAAACTCTTAAAACTTCAGCTTTTATAGAGGTGATCACACTTGCTGATCAATTGATCAAAGGCATGTGATTAGCAGCTGCTACTTAGCCTCTTCATACCTATGGAAGCAGTGTGTACTTAGTTTTTCACACATGGCTTCTCCATTTTGCCTATATTTCTGTAAAATAAATGATGACATGGTGTAATACGTCAAGAGTTGTTGTTCATCTGAGGTTGTATTTATCAACTTTTAAAGAATGCTAAAGATTATTTGTAGTATGATCTGAATTTTATGATTTTGAGTGTATTCAGCCATACAACTGAAGCAAGATTCAGTTTAAAACAAGCAATATGTTTCTTTATGAAAGCCCATGATGAAGCTGACAAAGCAAAAAGAATGAATTTCTGAAAATGAAATTCAAAAGGTAAATCAAAGTGAGGTATCAAAACATAAATAGCATCATCACATGGAGAAAAATAGTAATGATTTATGAGACTTCGATCTAAATAGAATTTAGTAATGTGAAGCTCTTTAAAAAGCTGATTGCTTCACACACAATAAAAAATGTGTGATTCTGGGGCTTCCGTTTTTGCCGTTGCGGTGAAATGGGCTCAGGAAGACAGGGCTCCGTCTTTCACATGCGATTTTGCCCCACTGGGGACCCTGGAAACCGTCGAAAGTCACCCCGTAGAGGCGACAAGCAAGGAGGGGACCCTCATTGATTGCAGGAGGGCGGCAGCCCTTCCGTTTGATCCAAGGAAGCCCTCCAAACCGGCGGGGGAAAGACTGGCTACAATAAGCACTAACAAGCAACCTTTCAGCAATGTGGATGAAACTGGGTGAGACTCTATCCTCTCTTTTGACTCTAAGACTTCTCTCTTGAAAAAACTGCCCAAAGCACCCTCCCCAATGAGAGGGAAGGGGAATTTCCACCCCATTCCCTCAGGAAAAGAAAAGCGGCGAACTAATTACTTGGGGAAAAGAGAAAATTACAAGATTAATTTGGAATTAATACACATATATGGCTTTAAAATTTGGGGACTAAAAGTGTTTTTGAGACTTTTTTTAAAAAAAAGATTTGAAAAGCTTGTAATATAAGTTTTGATTTAAAAAGCTGGGAAACGGCGCTAATGGTATCTAGTGGCGAATTACGGCACTACAATTTGTTATGCCTAAAGGAAACTTGGCTTGAAGCCCAGTTTTAGATAAGATTCTTACTATCTGTCCTTGGAAACTTTAACCTTTGAAGACTGCAGCTGGGAAAAGGGGGGGGGACTTTTGGGCTGCTTATCAGTGTGGCAGGGATGAACTATTTTGAAACTGGCCTGCCTGAACTACAAATATAAATATTAACTGACTTTCAGAGCTATGTTGTGGAACTATTTCCCTGCAAGAGAAACACACTTCATTGCTTGAGATGATGGAATATTTTGGATTACAAATCTTTGATGAACAATTTTTATTATAAAGACCACTTACAAAAAAATGTGATTCTCTCAGCCTTTGAGATTTTATTTGTCCTGTATTTTTTTCATTTATTTGTATCCTGCCTTTATTATTTTTACAAATAACTCAAGGCAGCAAACACATCTAATCTACCTTCCTATTTTCCTCACAACCACTCTGTGAGATGAGGTGGGCTTAAAGAGATTGACTGGCCCAAATTACCCAGTTGGCTTTCATGGCTAAAACAGAACCTAGTTTCCGCTTTGCGGCCTGATGCCTTAACCACTAGGCCCAACTGGAAAACTATTGATAGCAATATACAAAGTTGTGAATATACTTGGGTCAGAAGGAAAATGTAAGTTCAATTCAGTCATGATTTGCTATTAAAGCATTACTAGTTTGAAAATCATAACGAATTACCAAATAATGTCTGATTTAGAAATTTAATAAGACTAAATGATATAAAAGTACTTTGTTGAAATCACAACAGCTTTCGTTTAATTCAGTGAGCATAATAAAAAAACTATTCTGTTGTTATTCTATATTCTATTCTATTCTCATTTCATTTGGCTTGCTTCCAAGAAAAAGATGGTTTGTTTAAAAAGACAGTGACAAGCAAAATAAAACCTTTTTATGATGCAGCAATACATTTTCAGATTTTAAGTCTTAATGGTACTGCTTTTAGAAAAAAAATAAAGATGCAAATATTTGTAATATTCCCTTAGTTTCTGCAGTAAGCACTCAAAGGGAAACTAATTCATTTTATTATCTGTTTAAACAGTTAATTCCCATTTTTCCCCTTCTCTCCAATTTTTGGAAGTAAATCCCATAATACATATACAAACATAGAGAAACTGAGCTAATAAAGAGATGCATTAATGGCTCTATATTGAAACTATAAAGCAGGAGTGTCAAACTCGCAACGTCACGTGACGTGTCGCAACGTATTACAACTTTTTTGCCACTGCTGGCAATGGGGTGGACATGATTTCGCTATGATGCATCTGGCCCGCGGGCCGCCAGTTTCACACCCCTGCTATAAAGCATATGCCTTGCAGAATTAATTGGGAGGACAACAGCCAATATCACAATAGTAGGATACAGCATATTACCTTTGCAGTAACTTGAACTCATGCTTACTTAAGAATTAGAATATGCTATTAGTTTATTAATCTTAAATCTATCACAGAGTGAGGCAACACACATAATAGTCAACATTAAGTGAAAACTGAAAAAATATTTATTTATGATCTCAATAAATTATGTCAGGGTCCAAGTTTTGTTTTTTTTAAGAAAGCCTTGCTTAAACTCAAATTAAACTCAAATCACATAAATTTTAAGCATAACTTCAATCCCTGCCATTCATCTGTTGCCATTTTGATAGAGGGGCCTAGCTATATATGATGCAGGCTATTTTTGGGAAAGCTGGTATCAATGAAAAGTGAGGCTAATGTGTCAGCTCTTTCACCTTTATGTGCATCATAGTCAGGAACAGATCTTAGCACATTTGTGATAATCTACACACCCTGGGAGCCACTGAACCAAGACTGATTGAAAAATAGGACTTCACTCTTCCATCTGAATTGTGGCGAATAAAAAGCTTGTTCCATACGGTAAGACAGAGAAAGAGAATAGATCTATTAAGATGGATTTTCCGATGTAAGCATTATGTTTTGTTATTGGCAGAAAAATGAAATGGGTGAGAGGGGATTTTACTAGGATCAGGTATAAGGAGTTAAAATTAATTGTTGTGTAACACCCAGAGTCACTTTTCATGAGATGGGCAGCAAGATAAATTTAATAAAATAAAATAATAAAAATGATGCACTTTTAATATGGGACGCTACAGACTGGAGCTGAAAATTAAACTTATTGGCCATCACTTCATCCATAGCAGAACAAAACTGGAAGGAACCAGAACTTCGGGAACTTCACCACTTGAAAAACCAAGTCCACAATAACTTTAATTATGAGAAGTTACTCCTTCTTTGTTGCAATAAACCTCCAACCCATATGGCTTTCACAGATCCTACACTGAGTTATATAGTCCATGCATAGCTACTAGTATGGCGACTAGTATTGTGATTTTATTCACTACAGTCTGCCCCCCCAAATCAAGTGCTTTCAATACATTTTTATAACACAAGAAAAATAAAAAATAATCTAAAATTTTCATTCAGTAAGATGCCCTTATCTTGCTCTATTCAAAAAGTGATGACAGCTAATATTGCTTTTGACTAGCAGAGAGACGTTGTTGAAGCACAAGAAGACAGTTCAGTTGTAACTGTGATGAGAAATAAAATGCCACTGTACCAGAGGTAGAAGGAATTAGCCCTGAGTCACAAACTTATTTGCTGGTGTACATTAAGTCTTGGGGTGAATGACACTGACATTCAGAACATGTTTTCAACTGATACAATAAATGCCATCATTAAAGTTAGGTGTTTGTTTCAGAATAACATCTCACAGGAAATATGATAGTATGTATGAAATTACTAAAACGTTTCAGCAAAGTTTTTATTTCAGCAAGGTAACTCAACACATATTATTAACAAGCTCACTACATATTTCTATGAAACAAATCTGATACCTGTGGATTTACTGAAGTGCATTCTGGAAAAAACAATGTATTAAGTCTTTATTCCTTCTTTCTGGCACCCATTTCTATACCATAATATCTCCTGAAAACAAGTTTTTATCGGAAGCATTATTACCCCTCAATCCCTCGGCTTCAGATAAGAAATTACAAAGAGTAGTAAGAGGTCTGCTGCTTTCCAATACCAAATATATAGTTTATGAACAACTGTGATGCCAAGTCTCTAGACATGTAAAAAGATACATAATGCTTCAAAACATTTAATTACAAACTTTTGTGATATGATTAACTGAAATGCACTGGAGAGATCAATCTCGAAAATCATACCCTTTATTATGCTGCTAGAGGCATGAACAACTAACCTACATTTCTACTTTTTTTAAAAATAGAAGTCTGAAAATGCCAAATGGAGTGAAAATCCTGTAAAGGAGATAAAGCAAACACAAACAGCCTGGTTTTAACCAGAGTTGCATTTCGTAGATTCTCTGAGCAGCAGGCTTCAATGCGTGCTTCTACAGTAAGCCAGAGCAGGGGTCCACAACCCCCAGTCTGTGGACCGGCATCTGGACGCGGCATGCCAGAAGCCGGGCTGCGCAAACAAGCAAAGCCCCATCCGCGGGATGCAGGCAGTACATGAAACCATGCCCCCTCCTGTCTGCAAAAAAAACTTTCTCCATGGAACCGGTCCCTGGTGCTCAAAAGGTTGGGGACCTCTGAGCTAGAGTCTGATTTTAGGAGACACTCCTTTTTAGAAGACTGGGTCTCCTTGTCTTTTTAAGGCTTATTGAAGCAAATGCTAGTACCTGTAAACTATTTCATACAGGTAGAAAACAGGTATTCTAGTAAATTCACCACATTCTACAGGAAAATACCTTAAAACAGCGGGCAATAGATTATAGCTATCATTACGCACACTTTTAAGTTATACAGTCTTCATGTCACTTCTACTCAGCTTTAGCTCCTCAACAACACTAGATGTCTTCTTACATTATTAAAGAGCAGCTGTAAATCCGAGCTGTTCAATTCAGTACATGCCAGAAAACATGAAACCGTCTGCTTTAGTCTCACGTTCCGTTTCACATTTTGTACATCTTCAAAATATTAAATTTTTCAGGGCCTTCGGAAGTAACAGTGCCTTTTTCATAAAGTTCAAATATACAACCAGATCCCAGAGGCAGATACTTTTAATACTTTTCTCTTCGAGACACAAACTGCTTTTAGTTTGTTCCAAGGAAGGTGCCCAGATCAAAGGCAAAGCAATAGCGATCTTTCTTGCCCAGATTCATTTTCTTTTTCTGGAATTCTTGGCAGCAGAGCAGAACGGGTCAGTCCCCAGAATTTTTGAGGTGACAACTCCTTCTTGGTTGCAGTAAACTTCCAACCCATATGGCTTCCACAGATCCTGCACTGAGCTATAGTCCATGCAAATCTGGAAGTGGATGGCATTTATGTTAGCCTTCATGATTGACAAATATATTTACAAGGCGGCAAGATATTTATAATAGCTCTAAAATCATATAAAGCAGATTTCAAAATATCAACATTTATTACAGCGTTTAAAATAAGGATTCACGTATACGCACATTTGCATAATGGCAGAACTGAATGCGAACAATAACATTTCAGAAATGGCCTTAAACCACTTTGTCCAGGATTTTTCTAAAACACGAACCAGAAACCTGTTCTAATATTAAAGCATCAGATTCCTAAATGGCACTATTTCAAAACCACTGACATTCTAATAATATATAGGGATTGAGAGTACTTCCCCATAAATGTCAGAATTGGTTAAACCACATATGGTTGGCACAAATTAAACATACACTCGAGTCATAAAAATGTAAAATGGCTTTAAAAAAAATTGAAGCTTTTCGTTAGTTGGAGAAAAAGCCGGGCTGTTTTTCCTTCCTCCTTCAGCATTAAGGAGACGGTGTTAATGAACTTCTCATTTTTTTTTCTATTTACATTTTAATTCCTTTGATGGCTTGGCATATGCAAGATAGTTTCTGCTTCAGTAACGGAGAAATAATGCAAAATGGCACACTGAAGCTTCTTCTTCGTGGAAAAGCATCTTTGGGACAACTATGACCCGGATGACTGAGAATCTCTATAGACATATGCTGGAGGTGGTTGACGGAGCAAGAGACAAACATCTACTCCGTACCATCCGTGCTCTTGGTTTAAACCTTTTATTTATTTAGCTGTTGTTAAAATTAATTGTAATCTTTTACTACTTTTATATTTATCTCTAGCATTGAATCTTTTTAGTGCTTTATATTGCCATAAGCCACCCATTCGAAATAGTGAGATGGGCAGTGTAAATAAAATAAAATAAAATAAAATAATAAAATAAAATATAAAATAATAAAATATAAAATGAAATATAATAAAATAAAACAAAATTAAAATTAAAAAAGCACAAAATAAAATAAAATGAAATAACTTACCCAGGAAACCAGCTGTGCTCTGTGGAAGATCTGCCATTCAGATTCAGATTGCAGGCCTTGTAGACAGTAAGGGTCTCGTGCACATAGCCATGAGGATTCACATAGGCTGCCATAGGTCCACATAGGGATAAACTACAAACAGTTTTAAAACATGATAATGGCAAAAGCACAAAAGTGATTGTTTTCCAAGAACCATATCCCCAACTGAGTATTTTCTTTAACAGACATATCAGCCAAGCTTGAAAAAGCCTTCAACATGTGGGTTATTGCAAAAGATAGGTATTGGCAATAATAATGGAAGCCAAAGGTAATATTTGCTGTTTTGCATATTTATGGAATCATCTTTGTCATGTCAACTTCTATGGTTGTAGAATTGTTCAGAAGTAGAATAAAATTATGTTGTTTCACAAAGTTCTTCCAATTTTCACCTGTACATATGCAAGCCATCAATATGATCATACTTAACTCTATTTCTCTGTATCATCTTTATCAGGAGAGGCCATGCAGACTGTAGCTTGGTAAGAGCCAATATTATAAGCAACATCCCATCAAGACAAAGACACTATAGATAGATATGAATTCCTCTAGGAATTAGTGAGGTTAGCTACCCTAGATGGCGGGCGGTCCAAACGAACCGAGGAACCTCTTCAAGCAATTCAGAAGATACAAGTGCAAAACACTGTATCTTGGACTGCCAATGCAATCCATCTACAGGGATATTGCCTCTGTCCTAAAGGAGCTGCACTGGATGCCAATATCCAACCAAGACAAGTTCAAAGAGCTTCTGACATATCAAGCCCTATATAATTTCGAATGGGATGCCTTCTTATAAATCTCTACAATTGAGATTGAGCAAGGAAAGCACACCTACTCTTGTGAATAATTCAGAAGATTCTTAAGGCAGACTATTTTTGACCCTGGAGCCCAATTGTGGAATTTCCTCTTTCCTTAGTCACAACTTTCACTACTAGCTGAAGATCCTCACCAAGACTTTTACTGCATGGTTTCATGTGTGGCTATTATTTTTGTGGTCAATTTTCAGTTTTAATATCAGTAATGTTATATTGATTTATGATTTTATGGTGTCCTGGATAGGGCTTATTTTGATCTGAAACCTAATCATCTGAAAAGAAGGTAAAAGCTTTATGAATTAATATACATTACTCAACTCCCAGACATCTGGATAATTGCTAGATAATAATTTCATATTTGTTTGTCTTTATTAAAAGTTATCCTGCTTTTTTCCCAAGAAACTCACGATGACATATTATGAGAGACAATACAAACTAAGAGATGTACAAAGTAACTTTAAAATCTCACCTGAATATTTCATTTTTAGTAGTTATTTCTGTGTCTTGACAATGCTTACAGCAAAGAGAGGTACACTACAAACAAGAAGGCAAATATTATACAGGAAAAGAAAATTGAGTTTCTGGATCAAGAAACTCAACTTTTTATTTATAAAACATTTTAGATATAAATTGCCATTCTACAATTCAAATAACAATAAGTATCTAAACAATTAATTTTATTTTTATCCTGCCTTTATTAATGATAAGTAATTCAAGGCAGTAAATATGGATAATAGTCATTCCTCCTGTTTTTGTACAATAACTATATTAATTCTTATACTATCCAAATATTATAGACAAATAAATTGGGTTTAACATTTATTCAAATCAAAACTGCTGCAAAATGTGTTTTTACTGTATATTCTGGAACATGCAATTCTTGCCATGAAGACTAGAACCAGATAACTGAATAATTATTTCAGTAAATTATTACTACTTTGGAAGGGTATCATATTATTATTATGGATCATCGCACAGTCAGCCAGTATCATCATCATCATCATGATTATTATTATTTGGAAATAATCCATAAATATATGGTAAACATCTGTGCTCCCATCCCACAGCTCGCTAACCCTTCGGTAAACTACATGCAAAATTTTGGTCTGCTCTTCAGACATACAACCTAATTAAAGTATTTTTTTTTTGTTTAATGAGAAAAGAAATGAAATTACACATGTACATGCTTCACATGTTCAAACAATCACATGAAGGCTAAATCATCACTAGGTAGAAAAGTTGAAATTGTTAATTTAACCTTCCGCCGCGCCCTCAAGACATGGCTTTTTCAACAAGCGGGCCTGACCTAAGGTGAGTTTTAAATAGGGACAATTTTTAAACAATTTTAAAGAGCCACAGCTACCAATATTTGGATTTTAATTGGTTTTTAGTAGGGGAAAAAATTTTTTTTGTACAATGTTTTAATATGCTGTGAGCCGCCCTGAGTCCCATGGGGAGAAGGGCGGCATATAAATTTAAATATAAATAAAAATAAATAAATAAATAAATGTTAAGAAATATTCACATGGCCACAACAATGTGGGATAGCCCCTCATCTCTGGACATCATACCAGTAAAAGCTAAAACAATTATTATTTTGAATAGTCAGGACACAATAAAAAATATTGGGTGATCGTTTTCAGCATACATTTCACATTTAAGTCTCCCCAAAAATAAGTCCCAATGGGAGTGAATCTTGTTAAGCATAATACAACTGAAGGAAGTTAAGAGTTACTCACTCACTTTGTTCATAATATCTAGTTCACAGCGCAGTCTCTGAACAGCACTACCAATTTTAAGCAGCTGAATTCGCAAAACATCATCAATTGGTAGGCATGCTGCAACTCTATATGAAAAATCTGAAAGAAAAACAAGGTTCATTCAAAGAGAGACAAAAGACTTAACCAAACTACATCTAGGCAGAGCATTAAAACTAACCTATCACTATTCACAATTAAGTTCTCTTAACTTCAGATCAGCTGGAACAAATCAGACTGCTTTCTCCAGGTAGATATTAACTATGCTTAGTTTTACTATAGTTTGCGTGTTATAAATGTAATACCGTAGTATCTTAAGGAACAATATAATTATAAAAAACCAGCAGATCTGCAATTTTGACAGAGTGATGCTACTGCTCTTCTGATGCAACTCTATAAAGCCACATTACACATACAGCAAATTAGGGCAAATGTATAATAACCAGGTTAAAAAAAGGAAAGACAAATTGGAAACTGATCAAGGAGAAGCAACCTAGAACTAAGGAGAAACTTCCTGACAGTTAGAACAATTAACCAATGGAACAACCTGCCTCCAGAAGCGGTGAATGCTCCAACACTGGAAGTTTTTAAGAAGAGACTGGACAGCCATTTGTCTGAAATGGTATAGGGTTTCCTGCCTAAGCAGGGGGTTGGACTCGATGACCTCCAAGGTCCCTTCCAACTTTATTATTATTATTATTATTATTATTATTATTATTATTATTATTATTATTATTATTATTATTATTATTATTATTATTATTATTATTATTTTTACAGTAATAGTTCTTGTTTATTACAGTGTTGTCATCTGCAGAACTACATAAAGCTGTCCGTTCTCCTATTAGATTTCCCATATTAATGGAATATGTATTGTAACTCAACAACTATTAGCTGCAACACACAAGCTATTGCAAGTGGTTTCCACACAGGAGTGTAACGTGTAGCACTGCTGATGTTTTCCTGGTGTTCTTCTAACAACTTGGGTAGGTGGGTGCAATTTCACCTCTTTATAAAAAGTCACAATAAATATACAAAGCAGCAGAAGGTTGGTCTGCAACTCAGTTGTGATTGTAGGATCAGTTAACTAATAAACTGATTTGATGAAGACTTATTACCACCAATACAATTCATTATTTAATAAATAATGTACCTATTGCATTTGATGGAAGTGATTCATCTTTCAGATTTTCATCCCATTCATGAAGCTGCTCCTTTACTCGTTCCATCAAGGTTTCCTTGTGTTATAAGAAAAACCTAATTTAAACATAAAAACTTCTTTTTTTGATAACAAAACAAGAAAAAGGGAATTGTCGAGAAAAAGCATTTCTCATTATAACTGCAGTTTAAGCTCCTTAAAATTAAAATGCTGTATTTTGAATGCTGGGTGAAATATTAAGAAACAACATTAAGACGAATCATCTTGTTCACCGGCAACAAGGACCACCTCCTCCCTTGTTTGAAAAATTCAGTGGGGAGAGATTTGTCCCTCTTCCAATTACTTGACACAAATCTCTACTGTGTTTTTGCAAAGGTTCTCCTCCATTGACAGAATGGAGATGAAGTTGGCCCTAGATAACGAAGAGATGAAGTTGGCCCTAGATTAGGGGTAGGCAACCTTGGCTCTTTTATGATTCGTGGACTTCAACTCCCAGAATTCCTGAGCCAGCCATGCTGGCTCAGGAATTCTGGGAGTTGAAGTCCACGAGTCATAAAAGAGCCAAGGTTGCCTACCCCTGCCCTAGATCATGAAGCGGATAAATTGAGGGTGAGATATTGACATAGCTAGTCGACAAACCTTAACAATGCCCTGAAATGATTTTTTTTAAAACCAGAAACTAGAATTCATGAACTTATTCCAATTATACGCCTTTATATACCAAATGCAAGTAGACTAACAATTAGCTCAGAATGGAAAGCAAAAAGGAAATAGTGGCAATATACGGATTATAACTCTACCAACAGAAGGAGCTTAATTTGCTGAAGACATCTTATTTTACTTATTAATTATACACATTTCTATGATGCTTTGTCGATAGCAATGGCATACCTTTAATAAAAACAAAGTGTGATACTTTAAAGCAGCCTCTATAAATAGGTTAGAAAAGCATAAAAACCTCTAACTTCCAGTAAAATCAGATCTGCTTTGAAAACCTGAGGTAAAATTTCATTGAGAGGTATCTCCTTAGAGAAGATCTCCTCATCAAAGAGCCACTGTGGGCCTGAAAAGCTTGGAGAACAACTGCCTAGCCTTCAGCCACCAATTTCTATGGGAAGTTGTTGGGATGGGGGTGGCAACCTAGAATGAGAAAAAAAAATGGCACCATGACAGGGGGACTGTCAGGCAAAAAACAAACTGCAAAGTAGCAGATTTTCTATACTTAAGAACCCGAAACAGCACTGACTGCTCTAGTCAGTCCTGGATTGGGAGACCCTAGCCACAATAATTCATGCACTTATTGTCACAAGTCATGATTGCAGCAATATATTCTACATGGGCTGCCACTGGAAGACTACACTCGTTGTATGGGTACTGCATTGGTTACCAATAGGTTTATAGGTAGAATTCAAAATACCTATAGATATAAATTGAAGCTATAAGGACTCATATAGTTCAGAATTGTATGGAAATGCCCATTTCAGTGCCTCCTGTGCACATTCCTGCTTAAATGTGACAGTGCACACATCCCACTGTTTTTGAATAGATTCCTAGGGCTTTGTTATCTGAGGAGTGGAATCTGTCGACAATGTTCCTTAGATGCACTCCTCATATTAGTAACCCCTTTTTTCAGATTAAGCTGAGCTCCTCATGGTTGCACTTCTGCAAGATGTTTGGAGAATGGTCACCTTTTGCTTATTGTATTATTACTGAATTATTTATGTCAGTATATCTTTATGATGTAAAGATGGGGGGGGTTGCTTTCTGCATGCAAATAAAGCAAATAAACTAAGCAGAGTAAAAAGCACAATTCAAATCATGTACGAACACTATATGTACACAAGCTTATTGGGCAATACAAAAGAGCCACACAGAGTGCAAAAAGTTGAACACAATAAAGAGGAGGACGGAAATCTTCATTGATACTTACAGCATCATATAAAGAATATAACCACGATGGCCAGGAAGTCAGACTAGCACAGTGAAACTTGCGCTGTTAATACAAAAACATTTTCCTTATTATAGATCTACACTTTTCTACATAACAAAGGTAAGAGAGTGCGCCTCTAAAAAAGTCAGCCAATTTAAAATATTTTATATAATAATGTCCTTTCCACTTACAATTTATCTTGCAGTGGCATTGCTATTCACCTCTGCTCCCTATAACCAGGAACAAGCACACTTTTGGAATTTCAGAACATCTAATTGGAAGCGGCAGAAATTTGCTTTAAAATGAATGAAACTTATTCCCAAGCACATATATATTTGAATTAAAAATTACAGATGTATACTAAGGTGAGGCACCATCAAATTAGTTTTCACAGTATTAATTCCAAGGATTGCAATATAATCACACGTCATCATTATTATTTTAGAAATGCAGTAATTTTTACAAATTCTAGCCATCAAATCCAATGAAAATTGGATATAATCATAGGGTAGAGTAATCCTGAACATACACAGTCCTTTTTTCATCTGCTAAATTATGCCTCTTTAACTAAAGGTGGACCACAGCCATCTTTAGCAGTTACCTTGTTTAGTGGCCATTTGTGAATACTACCATAATAATAGTAGCAATAAGAAAAATTAACAATTTCCAAGCAATGCTGACACTTGCAACCAGATTTTTACACTTGGCAAGAATGCATGCCAAAGTGAGAATAATCCTGGCATTGCTGCTTGAAATAACTATATCTGAATAAGACGGCAGCAACCAGTGATCTTTGGAACATTTTCTCTCTCTGTTTTCATCACTTAGCGATCATTTCACTTCTGATTTGTGGAATGGATCTGTGATCGCTAAATGAAGAAAGAGTGTACAGGTAGATAGTCCTTGACTTACAATCACTAATAAAATCTGATATATTATGGGCACGTGGTACAAATGGATGATGGACTGGAGAAAAATTACTGTTTGGCAAAGTTGAATGAAGGGAAAGGTAACTGATAGTGGATGGATAGGATCAAGGAGTTTCCTGGGGTGTCCCATTAACCCATCTGCCTTCTGGGAAGTCAATAACCCAAATACAAAGGGAGAAGTCTTTTCCATTTATTTTTCAGTAGTCTTTCCCATCTACTTTCCACTGAAAGATCCATTGTCTCTAAATAAACAAATAAATAGCCTTTATGTAGTACAATTTACAGTGCTGATCGTGCAAAATGCCAAGAATGAGGATACTGAAGTCTTTTCATGAAAGTAACACCCATTTCAGTCTTTTTTAGCCTTCGCTGGATTATAACTCTCATCTTCCCCAAGCACGGCTATGTTAGCAGGGAATGAGAGTTAAAGACCACCTATCACAAGAGAAATAAGTTACCCTTCATCAACAAAGATAAACCAGAAAGTCATTACAGGGGGAAAAAACCTTGCTTTTCTAATCATAAACTAAAGCATTGAAGAATCTGGTACCGGAAGATTATTCTAAGACTTTAAAAAATAGTTAAACTAGTGCTTTGGGGAATAATTGAATTTTTAACTCTGAACTGAAAGAAGTTATCACAGCAGGTGCACAAACAAGTCAAGATTATTATGAAAGCATGCCTTTACAAATAATATATGATTGCTTTATGCTGACAGGGAAACAAATTTTTAGGGATATCTGGCTAGAAATAGATAAGGACAAAAATGCAGAAAGATAGAAATTGTCACTATGGATCCCTAAAAGGCATAAAAAACTCATTAAAATATAAAAATGTGCATGACTGATATACAGAAGACATATGCAGTCATAAATGCCAAGGAACGCAGCACAAATTTCAAAATTCAAAACCCTTTATCTATTTTTATATATCTAGGAAGAGAAAACATTTCTTTCTGTTTCTCTGATCAAAAAACAAGTCATAGTTCCAGTTTTATACATTTTTACTTTTAATATAATTTAACTTGAATTTGGGACAAGAGAAAATTCTTGTAAAGCTTTACTTTATATTCTTGGTTTTCAAGTCAATTTTTAAACTCCTGCTTTTATTGCTTTGCCCTACTTTGGCAAAATTTTGTATGAATATACTTTAGCATCTTATTCTCCAGAGAATTTAAATGTCAACTTAAGATCTACTTATCTTTAAATATATAATACAGCTCTCTAGGAGAAGAGCTAATTATTAGGATAAGTTGTATTCCTGAAGACTTCATTGATTCATTAAACACTTTTGTGCCTTTTTGTCATTGCTGACTCCTGGTGACTGCCTAAACTAATCCTTACAGTTTTCTTGTCAAGATTTCAGAAGTGGTTTGCCATCACATCCTCCCTAGGGCTGACTGAGAATGACTAGCCCAGGGTCACCCAGTTGGTTTTATACCCCCAAGATGTGACTAGAATTCATGGCTTCCTAGTTTTAGCCTTGTGCTTTAATCTCTCCACAAACTGGCTCTCTTGTTAAATACTACACATGATCAAAATGGTTGCTCTGGCTTCTCTTAGTGTTTCTTTAGTGGCAGCAAATATCCTGAATTTCTATGGAGAGATTAAAGCCACTATGAAGAAATAGTTGCTAGTTTTATCCTTTCTCCTTTCCCCTTGAAGTGATGTTTGAACGTATGGTATATTCATCTTCTCATCACCCAAAACGCTGGGCTGGCCTACTAAACCTATATGCAAAGATCTATATAAAGGACTTAAAGGGGCTCTTTCTAAAGCATCTTTGAAATATTACAAGCATTATGTCCTACAAAAGGACTTGACTGATTTGAAAGCTTTCTTCTGTTCTCTCTCTCTCTCTCTCTCGCTCTCTCTCTCTC